GCATGGCTAATGGTTCCCCCTGTGTTGTGCCTTCTTGCGATCGAAGCTCACCTCCGCCCACAATAAATAGCCTCGCGGGGTTTCGATACGTATTAATTATGGATATCGCTGGTCTTGGGCATAATAACAAAATGTTATGAAGAGCAACTTGACGATTTAGTGAATTAAATGCATTACTTGCATCAATCAGTAAGATCCCTTCCGTGTTTTTCTCTTCCCATACTTGCTGCATAGCATGGATGGCTGCTTCTGCTCCAGCTTCATGCCCAGCACAGACTTGAATCGGACCAGTCGCTTCTTTGAAATCTTGCTTGAATTCCTTTGTTAGCGCTTTCCCAACCAAGCGCCTCATAATCTCACCAATACCGATGGGTCGTATACCAGGGGACTTGTCTAAGGGGATAAGTCTATTGGCAACATATGCTTCCAGGCAGAAGGGATCCAGACTTTCTGTTGCTATTTTCACAGCAAACAAAGCAATTTGTTCACGCAGCCATTTACCTTCACGGTGAAATTGCTTTAAGCAAAGCATACGAATATACTGATTAGCGTCGAGGCCAGAGGGACCCGCAGCTCCCTTTAGTGTTTTCACAGCAGTTAGTATAGTTTGCTCATCAACTGCTATAGATATATTGCGAAGGTCAATAATGGGACCATGGAGTAAGCTACTTGGTTGTATATCTGCAGGGGCTGGATGCTTTTCCTGCAGATTTCGAAGGACTTCCTCGGATAATGGTAGGACACAGCCATCAGATTCTTCGCTAAGAAGACGAAGAGCAGCATTAACGTTTCCCATCATGATTAACTTTGCAAAAGTTTTAGACAGATTGTCCGAGGATGTCTTTGGTCGTAATTGACGTTGGATAGAACGAGATTCTGAAAGCAGACGCTGTAATTCACCATCTTTTAGCCATTTGATTCTACGGTTCAAGGCTTGCGAATGTTCCTTTGCTTTTGACGATACTGAGGGCTTTTGCAGAAGAATCATTGGAAGGGTCATAAAAACCTTCAATGATATACCCATAAAACTATCTTCATTATTAAATTTAGATAGCCATTGTGATTGTAATTTGATGAATTCTTTGCCCGCTTTCCCTGAAGGAATTTTAAATACATTCTTCCGCCATTTCACCGCCTCATCATATGCCGAATCAAAGAAGTCACAGAACAATTTTCCCTCTGTCGAATAAACCCTAAAACCTGAAGAATGGTTTATAGGTTTAAAGCTAGGTAGATTTGGAAGGATTGTCGAGGTTCCATTATGTTCTTCGGATGAAATTGACGTATCACTAAGGGATTCTACAGAGTGACTAATAATGTCCTGGCGAAGTCTTTCTTTTAGTTCACCCTTTAGACCTGATTTCTTTAGCCCCCTCAGTCCCAATGCTTTCTTCAAGTCGACTACTTTTAAATCATCAATATTTTTCCCATCAATCAAGGGAAAAACACTGTCCCTGACCCCATCGTCGATCAAGCCACCGTCAATCATCACGTTATTTAGCAATATTAACAATGTGACATGTATAACAAATCGTGTAGAATTGTTCACCAAATCATTGAATAATTCGCTTCATGTACCAAATCAGCTTTCTTCTTTCCGCAATTTGTGAGAACAAAGTACTATGTAGCAATTAAAATCAAATTTGTTTGTAGAGGTGACTTCTTTCAGACAATAAATAACATTTTTCAATCATAATTTGACGGAGCTCGAAATTTTGCAGCCGCCAAGTTGGAGCGTGCTTCCACTTGGAGCGTGCTTCCAGAGAGGGAGAACACACAGAACATAACTGAACATGCTGAATTGAGAAGAAAATATGAGTTGTCAAATGAACAGTGTGTACTCAGAATAGAACATGTATACTTGCAAGTGATTTTGTAATTCCTGTAAACGATCAGAAAGTGTCAAATTTATGATATTCCAAACTTCACAGCAATAATCAGAATACGGTAAAACTAGTGCATTGTAGGCACATATTAACGTGTTGTGATCAACATAAGATTTTAGTTTTCTGACCGCACCAATTCCGGATGAGAAATTTTAGGAGATTTCTTTAATGTGTTTATTCCAAGATAAATATTCATCGATATAGACCCCAAGTGCCTTTGTTTCTTCTACCCTTTCAATTGGTATGTCGCCGACATACACTTTGGGAACGAGAGATAAGTTATTGATATTACTGTATGCCTAGATCCGATTAACAAGTGTTCAGTTTTGACAACATTTAGAGATAATTTATTTGCAGAGAGCCATTGTTTAACATTTGCAAGGTCATGATGATGGCTACTTCTGCATCAGAAATTGTTTCGCCTGAGGCAGTTAATGCTGTATCGTCAGCAAACATTCTTGCCAACGAATACTCCAAACTGTCCGGCAAATCGTTTATATAGATTAAGAATAGAAGTGGGCTAAGAATGGAACCTTGAGGAATTCCACACCTAACTATCTTTGTACCGGATAATACACCGTTAACTGAGCACATTTGCGTTCTGTTAGTTAAATAACTTTTTAGTAGATTTAAGGTTACTTCACATGATGAACGTGCGTTTTAGTCTATTGAACATGCCGCAACGAATTTTAGGTGTAACGTTACCAAATTTTTAGTGAAGAAAGCCAATAAAATGCTGATTTCGAAAATCTTCATTTGATGGGTGTTCTATTTAAACATGTCCAGTATTGGCTGACTAAAGAAATACATAAGTATCCCATAAAAAAATCAAAATATATTTATAGTTTACCTCAACGTTTGTCTACAAATATCGATTAGAATCTTCATAGGTACGGTAAAAAAAACGTGTGCGGAAAATTTCTCTTCTTCAATCGTTTTTCTGATATGACGTTTTCTTTGACAACTTCGTGAATTATCAGTCACAAATCCAAGAATCAGGGCATATCAGAAAACCATGCCTATGAAGATTTGAATTGCGATATCTAGACAACCGTTGAAGTAAACTATAACCATATTTTGATTTTTTTATGAAGGTGCCTACATATTTACCCAGTCAACCAATACTGAAAATGCTTAAACAGAACACCCACCAAATGAAAATTTTCGAAATCAGAATTTTCCTGGCTTTCGTCACTGAAAATGTGGTAAAGTTAACACCTAATATTCGTTGAGCAATGTCCAATAGACTAAAACGCACGTTCATCGTGTGAAGTAACCTTAAGGCTGGTAATTCCATGCCATACATATCAAGTTTCTTAAGTAAATATTGTGGTTTATAGTATCAAAAGCTTTTTGTAAGTCAAGAAATACTGCGATTTTACCAGGGTCCATATTAACAAACCATTCATTTGTGCTAACTAAAAGGGCAGATGCTACGGAATGAAACTGTGTAAAGCCAAATTGACGATCAGATAGCAAATTATTCGAGACAAAATAATCATATAATTGTTCACATAGTATTTTTTCAAAAACTTTACTAATAACAGGTAGAATGGAAATAGGGCGATAATTATTTAATAAGTTTCGTGGACCTTTTTTGTGTAAAGGAATGACTCTTGCTATTTTCCATTCAAATGGAACAGTTTCATTAAAAATTGCCGTATTGAAAATCTTTGTTATAAACGGGTCAGCAATTACTGGAGCAGCAATTCGAATTATTTTGGCAGGAATTTTATCAATTCCAGTACAGGCATTTAAGGACTGAAGAAATTTATTTACTTTGGCCACAGAAACTGCTTGAAATTTGAAAACACTTATTGCAGTTTTCGTTAAATAATCCATAAAATTCGTGTCACTGTTTTCAATGCTATTGGCAATATCGGGTCCAACACTAATAAAGCAACTGCTAAAGGATTCAGCTAACTCACTTGAGCAAGTGATTTGTCCGCTCAGTGAAGTAATACAATTAATTTCAGAGCCGCATTTTTGATTGCGATTGAGGATTTTGTTTACTGTTTTCCAAGCTTCCTCATAGGATCATTTTTGACACATACAAATTGCTTTTTATAATAAGCTGTTTTTGCTTCTCGTAATGCTTGAGTTACGCGATTTTTGGACGTTTTATATGCGCTTCAGTAATTTTTCGAGTTATTCTTTATAGCAAGGAGTTTGAGACGATCTTGCTCACGCATTTGTAGTCAGGGCCGTAGCTAGCATGTATAGTTGGGGGTGTAGGCCAAAAATTTCCGAATGACAAAGAAAATTTCCGAATATTTCATGGCATACGAAGCCACGAAGGTGTTTGCTATCCGGAAAATAAAGATGCAATTTACAACATGGTTTACGCAAAGACATATTACAGAAGCATGCATGCAGTGCCGTAGGAAGTTCTTTTTTTTGAGGGCTGGGAACGAGGGCCGATCGAAGGCCCGAGGAAATTTTTAAATTTAGATTTTCTGAAATGCCATTTCCTGGATTTTGGGGAAGTTTTGACAGAATTCTGATGGTCAGAAAACGGAGTTTTAGTATGATATTTGTGACGTTACTCTGTGTATGCATCCACAGCGGGCAAGCTGAAAAGTTTGCTTGGCGACGGTGGGAGTAGAACCCGCGACCTTTGGGATACTAGTCCAATGTTCTGCCAACTGAGCTACGTGGTCAAGTCGGTTCGAGTTGTTAATAGAGTTTTAGTATGTCGAAATTTACAATTTGCTTACAATTTAATAGAACTAAATGGGCGAAGGCGTTTTTAATTACACTATAAATAATATGATTCTTTGCGGTTTGTCATGGATAATGTAGCCGCTTAAAATTAATCAATAGACCTTTCCCCTTATGAGTGAAATTTTGATCTAGACAAGCCTAAACAAAAATTTCATCACAGCTTGAAAGAGCAACACAAAATTAGTAATATTTCGAAGTTTCGTTGCGAAATGTTGTAAAATGCGGATAATATAGCCTTGCGAAGTTTGCCGTTTTTCAGTCATTGCATTACAAATGGGAAATTGATAATCAGTTTAACTGATTATCAATTTCCCGTTTGTAATGCAAAATGACTGAAAACGGCAAACTTCGCAAGGCTATATTATCCGCATTTTACAACATTCAACGAAACTTCGGAATATCACTAATTTTGTGATATGCTCTTTCAAGCTGTGGTGAAATTTTTGTCCAGGCTTGCCTAGATAAAAATTTGGGAAATTTGGGAACTCAAATGGGGGAAATTAAGGTCTATTGTAGAGGTGTGAAAATCCGATCTGAATCCGATCGGGTTCGTTCGGATTTCGGAACCAAAATGTAAATTTCGGATCGGATTTATAAAGTTGTTTCGCAGTCGGATCGGACTTCGATATCCGAAATATTATTAAAAATGAATTAATTATCCATGCATTATCGCAAGAATTAATTATCCATACATTTATCAAAGTATCATCGCGGTTTTCGCTGCATTATTCGTTTGATACTTCAATTGGACGTCACTTTGTCACTTTATGTTAACTAACATAACACTTGCAGAACTAGTATTGTTCGATGCTGAATTAATATAAACGAGTATGTTTATGACATTCAGTATATATTTCATAATTTCAAGTCTTAAAATCCGTCTGACCGTGTAGCTCAGTAGGTAGAGCGTCGATCTAGTAATTCGAAGTTCGCGGGTTCGAGACCCAGCCGCGGCAGACAACATCTTTCTGCTTGCGGTGAGTATGGAAATTATATAATACACACACTATATATATATATATATATATATATATATATATATATATATATATATATATATATATATATATATATATATATATATATATATATATGTATGTATATATATGTATGTATATATATATATACATGGACATTTCTGAAACAAACACCTTCCTATCGCGGCGGCGTAAAAAACTGTGATCTTTGTCTGCAGGACAAATTGCATATCCTGAAAGGTGATAAGACAACACTATTGAACAATAGGTGTGAAATTTTCTCGAAATGCCGCCACCGGAAGCGATTCCTCGCGGGAAAGTTTGAACGTGCGTTCGCTGTGCCATCACGCGTATAATTCAAACATCAGTCCAACGTCATCATACGGAAGATTCAACCGTCACTTGCAACACCGTCACCTGATGATCGCACTCAGCGTGAAACTCAGAGTTGTGACTCAATATATATATATATATATATATATATATATATATATATATATATATATATATATATATATATATATATATATATATATATATATATATAATAATAATAATATTTCAATTATATAGTGTAAAAAGAGTGCTCAACATCAAGAATTTAGCAGAGCAAATAGTATTTTAACTTAAAATTGAGTCACTCAATTTTAAGTTAAAATACTATATATATATATATATATATATATATATATATATATATATATATATATATATATATATATATATATATATATATATTTATTATATGGCAAGCATTTGTTTTGACGAATCGTGCAATTTGATTGGCTGCTGACGAAGCAGGATTTTCCCGTATTGCCCACGGGCAATACGTAATTTTTATTGCCCAGCGACGGCAGTCATAGCCGAGTTTCAAACAGCAAAAAGTGTCTAAAAGTCTTTCA